AGAGACAGAGAAAGAGAGACAGAGAATCTTAAGCAGGCTCCACACTCAGTGCAGAGCCCAATGTCGGGCTTGATCTCACAACTGTGAAATCACGACCTGAGCTGAAATCAAGAGTCGGACGCTCAACTGACTGAGTCACCTAGGTGCCCCAAAGATATTATTTAAATAAATAGTATGACTTATATAAGTATGAAGGTGAAAAACATTAATTTTTAACCTTGCCATGGCAATACATTTAGTATTCTCTACGTGAAAACACCATATTTAAATTTTTTTACAGCACTTTTTCCTGTAAGCAGGCAAATTTAGAGATTAAAAAAATACTATTAAGCCAGTAAATGCAGCTTTGATCTAGTAAAATTACTTTAATATTTGTCTGACCTCAATGTAAACACATGACCTTGCATGGGGCTCTGAAAAACTCATTTAATAATTATAATGATGATGATGATAATATTAGCAATAGTCAATATTTACTGACCACTTACTATAAATCAGATGCTGTCCTAATCATACATATTACTTAATTATCAAAACTCTAATGAAGTAGATATTGTTATCTTCATTTTACAGAGGAGGACACTGGGATTTAGAGATTGGAACGCTGGTAATCCAAATCTAGGCAGCCTCCAAAACATCAAAGTATATATGTGTCAAACATAATTATCAACAATGTTTTCCCTGTAGATATAGAATATTAAGATACAGCAGGAAAGTCCCAGAAATTAAGGGGTGCCTGGGTGGCTCAGTCAGTTAAGTGTCCAACTTTGGCTCAGGTCATGATCTCAAGGTTCGTGGGTTCAACCGAGTTGGGCTCTGTGCTGATAGCTCAGAGCCTGGAGCCTGCTTCAGATTCTGTCTCCCTCTCTCTGTGCTTCCCCTGTTAGTGCTCTGTATCTGTCTCTCAAAAATGAATAAAAACATTAAAAAAATTTTTTTTAAGATACAGCAGGAAAGTCCCAGAAATTAAGTGACTAACTGAAGGACTACCCCACCTCCCAATAAATAAAGTATATATAAAGAATATAAAGAATAAAGTACATATAGTATATATATCTATGTATATTCATATTTATATGTATCTGTCTAGGGGTCCTGATGACAAATACAATAGGAAACTTTTGGAGCCAAGAAACACAATACTAAATTCCTGATTCCAACTTAAACACAATTTTTAATAAACATAATTATTAATAACTCAAAATCAACATCAAAATTATACACTAGAGCTTTATAGCAGATTTTACTCTTTTTAGAAGTGATCTAAGTAACTGTATCTCATCCATGCAAACTTTCCTAGTATAAGAAAGTTCTATCTTGGGGCAAGTTCTATCTTGGGGCTGCCGTGGTGGCTCAGTCGGTTAAGTGTCCAACTGCTGATTTCGGCTCAGGTCATGACCACATGGTTTGTGGTATTGAGCCCCGCACTGGACTCCATGCTGTCAGCTTGGGACTCTCTCTCTCTTCCTGTCTTTCTGCCCGCCCCCTGCTCACACACGCTCTCTCTCAAAATAAATAAATAAACGCTTAAAAAAAGAAAGTTCTATCTCAGACATTGTATGAAGGAGAGTGTTTCTTGATCTACAAAAAGAACCTTTTTACAAAGTATTTTACTGCATTGACAATGCAAAGTATTCAGGGTAATGAGTCCTGTTGTTTACTGTATAAGCACAACAGATGTTGTATAGTAAACTCATTAATATTTTGATATTATATACTTCAAGTCTTTTAAATTATTTTAGAACATTTTATTTATGCTCTGAATGACTCATCCTAGTAATGGCAACAATCAGCATTCACAAGCCTTGAATTCCTGTTATCATTTGTTGTGATCATTTTTGTGTCCTTCCTTCAAAAAGACAAAACACAAAAATCCACCAACAGCTATGGGAAGAATCAATCCCTAACTGGATGCCTGTGTGGTTAATGCAAATTACAGTTTCAGAAGTAACTACTACACCACTTCCTCTATATTCACTGAACTTTTTGGCACCGGCTTTCAGACTTCTGCTCAGCCTAAGTCCTGCATTATCCTAAAGTCTGTGTTTATGTGGATGACTTATTTAATAGCCTAGCCTCATAATATCCTTGACTTGACTTAATTCAGTGACTATTCTCTCCACTCCATGTAGCCACACACTCCCATAAACACATCACTGAAGAGTTGGTACCTAATACAGTGCTCAATAAATGTCTGAACAAATGAATGAATACCTGTAAAAGGAACATAAATTTTGTTCAACTAATTTACAGGTACTGAGTATTCTGCTGTCACAGGTAAGAACTAATTTGTGGATAGTGAAATTCATATAGAAAAGTAACAGAAGACCCAAACTAGGACTGTTCCTTAGATAAAGCACTATTAGTTATACTTACAGGTCTAGGAAGGGCCAGGTTTGCTCCATACCAGTGATAAAGTGCTCTCCACACAGGTTCTGGAACCATTTCATAATCTCTTCCGTGGATCAGCTGTGGGGTTCGTTTTAATCGTCCTCCTTCTAGTGTTAACGATGTAGCCTTAGAAAGAATGGAACACAAATGTTGACTTTTAGTATTTTTAGTATTTACAGAGTCTTGTGTTTTAACATAACCTAGACACAGGAGAACAAACACATATGTCACGACTCAGTTTTATGTTACTGGAAAAAAAATGAATTTTCTATAAGAGATTTTTATTTTTAACTTTCAAAATAAATTATTTAAGGAAGATAACTCAAGGCAAATTATTTGAAAAATCATTAGAGCATCTGGAAATAAGACTGGTTTTCACAGATTTCTTTCAAACACAGTATAAAATATTATTTTAGGAAAAAAAA